TTTTTTTTTTTTTTTTTTTGCCTCATCAATTCTTCTTCCTGTTGTAGAAGCCATGGCCTGCCTGAGCTTCACCAAGTTGAACGCCTCCTCTTCGCAATGGATCGCTCACCAATCCTTCTCTCAGAGGCGCGGATCGTCTTCTGGTCGACGTGTTTCTGTCCCGATCCGTGCTGGGGGTTACTCCGATGAGCTTGTTCAGACCGCGGTGAGTATTTGGTTTTAGATCGTTGTTTGTTTGGGCGATTGACCTGGGGGATTTAATATGGGAGGGCTTGTGGGTTGTTTTTGTTGGGATTTGGATCTGATATTTTGATTTGCATGTATTGGAGTTTTGAGTTGATCGTGATGTAATTGCTGAATTTCGCGATCGTGGGAGGTTTTTTTCTGTCTTTATCAGGGTTCGATTTTTGTTTTTCTATGACTTTGACCTTGATTTTTCTGCGATCTTTTCATAGCGGGCTACTTTGTTTTGGTTCATGTTTGCAATTGTTGGTATTGTTTCACTAGTGAGATAAGTTTGATCATCATGTTACGATGCTCTTAGTGGCAGACTGCCAGTAGGCTGACCTTGCTGTAGTTGTGGCTTGATCTTACTATGGATAGATTCTTGTAGAAAGGATTAATTAGATGCAGATTTTCAGGAAGTCAGCTCTGGACAGTCCCCCCTCCCTCCCTTTTTAATGTGAATATATTACTAGATCAATGTTTTATATCTCATGAATCATGAATGTTTAATAAGAAACAGGTCTTCGTCTCTGCCAGAGCTTATTTGTAATAGCTTATTTTGTAACCGCTTAAGTTCACTGCAGTAGATATTGTCTTTTTTGTACTTTCCCTTTCGGGTTTTCCTTCAAGGTTTTTAAAATGCATATTGCTAGTTTGAGGTTTCCACCACACCCTTATAAAAGATGCTTTGTTCTCCTCCCCAACCGATTTGGAATCTCACAATCCACCCCCCTTTGGGTCCCAGTGTCCTCACTAGCACTTGTTCCCATCTCTAATTGATGTGGAACTCCCCAATCCCCCCCTTCGGGGCCAGCGTCTTAGCTGGCACACCGCCTCATGTCCACCCCCTTTGGGGCTTAACCTCTTCGCTGGCACATCGCTCGGTGTTTGGCTCTGATAACATTTGTAATAGCTAAAGCCCATAACTAGCAGATATTATCCTCTTTGGGCTTTCCTTTTTGGGCTTCCCCTTAAGGTTTTAAAACCTTTCTGCGAGGGAAAGGTTTTCATACCCTTATAAAGGATCTTCGTTCTCCTCCCCAAACCGATGTGGGATCTCACATTATTATATGCTTGAAATCATTTGTTATGATGTTTAAGAATGGAAAAAATTTGTAATGGCATTGTGTCTTAACTAGGTTGGATTCCTTGTATTAAGTTAGTGCTTTGTTCATTTCCTTGGTTTGCAGAAATCAGTAGCATCTCCTGGACGTGGTATTCTTGCTATTGATGAATCTAATGCAACATGTGGGAAGAGGTTAGCATCCATTGGCTTGGACAATACTGAAACCAACAGACAAGCATACCGACAGCTTTTGCTGACCACACCGGGTTTGGGTCAGTACATATCTGGTGCTATTCTTTTCGAGGAAACACTCTACCAGTCGACCACAGATGGAAAGAAATTTGTCGATTGCTTGCGAGAGGCAAAGATTATGCCTGGTATTAAAGTTGACAAGGTGAATTGTCCTTTTACCTTTCAATACACACCAAAGAATTTATTTTTAATTGCTATTACGAAGTTTCTTGACTATATGAAGCTTCTGAGTATTGAGTTTTGTTCATATTTATATTGTGTGGGTTTCAGGGTTTGGTTCCTCTGCCAGGATCCAACAATGAATCCTGGTGTCAAGGCTTAGACGGACTTGCCTCAAGATCGGCTGAATATTATAAGCAAGGTGCTCGTTTTGCTAAGTGGTAAGTCGGCATGTTCTTTGTTTCTGAAAGAACAAAGACCCTCTTGTATATGAGGGTGGTTTTCTCTTCTAACCTGTGTTGTTCGGTTAGTTACGTAAAATCTAAATCATATGAAACGTACAGGCGGACGGTTGTTAGCATTCCTTGTGGTCCTTCTGCTCTTGCTGTTAAGGAAGCTGCTTGGGGCCTTGCTCGATATGCCGCCATTTCTCAGGTATACGCTTGTTCTATGAACTTGTTTATATATATTACAGGATCATATATTTGAAGAGGTTTTCATTACAATAAGATTCTTTTCTTCTATCTCCTTGTTACTGCAGGACAATGGGCTTGTACCTATTGTAGAACCTGAGATCCTTCTTGATGGGGACCATTCCATTGACAGGACACTTGAAGTGGCTGAAAAGGTCTGGTCAGAAGTATTCTTCTATTTGGCTGAAAACAATGTTCTGTTCGAAGGAATCCTTCTAAAGCCTAGCATGGTAACGCCGGGCGCTGAACATAAGGAGAAGGCCTCTCCTGAAACTATTGCTAAATACACACTAAAGATGCTCAGGAGAAGAGTTCCTCCTGCAGTTCCTGGAATCATGGTATGAATAATTGAACTTGTTTTCGACGTTTAATGGCGTCGGTAATTTTTCTATGCTCACAGCAGTATTATACATTTCACTCTATATTTTGTTCTGCTATAGAAACTGTTGATGGTTTCATCTTCGTATTGTAGTTTGGTTGGTATGTTTATGGGTTGAATTTTAATTGATTGGGCAAGATCTCATGACTGTTAAGAATATTTAATGGTCAAATAAATGTATTGTGAGATCCCACATCGGTTGGGGAGGAGAACGAAACATCCCTTACAAGGGTGTAGAAACCTCTCCCTAGCAGATGCCTTTTAAAAACCTTGAGGGGAAGCTCGAAAGGAAAAAGTTCAAAGAAGACAATATCTGCTAGCGGTGGACTTGAGCTGTTACAAAAAATACTCTTCGAGCAAAGTGCACGTTTAAAAACAATATTAGGTTTCAGCATATAGATAGGAATTAAAAACTTTATGAAAAGTCCATCTTCTTAAAGATTCTTGAAGTTTCCTTCGTAAAAACTCATTTTAAGTGCAGATATAGAACAATAAAAATCTTTTATTTTGTATGCAGTTTTTGTCTGGAGGACAGTCTGAAGTGGAAGCGACATTGAACCTGAACGCAATGAACCAAAGCCCCAACCCTTGGCATGTATCCTTCTCTTACGCCCGTGCGTTGCAGAACACTGTGCTCAAGACATGGCAAGGAAATCCTGAAAATGTGGAGGCTGCACAGAAAGCACTTCTGGTGCGTGCGGAGGCGAACTCCCTCGCTCAGCTCGGTAAGTACACTGACGATGGTGAAAGCGATGAGGCCAAGAAGGGTATGTTTGTGAAGGGATACACTTACTGAGCATCGTTAAATTGCTGATGCGCTCGAAACTCGTGCTTATGTGTGTGCTTTTCTTCTTCTCCTTCATTGAAGAAGACTTTTTTTTGCTCTATAGGATAAAGCCTTTCATCTCCTTCCTTTGATAGAAAGCTTTTTATAATAAGACCTGTGAGAAGCAAACTCACATAGAGAGTAAGCAAATTGTATCCTACCATCTTTTTTCAAGTTATTTAGTGTTTTGAGATGTAGTTTTTAATATGCAGCATCTTATCCTTCCTGTAAAGTGAGCCCACTTTGTTGGCAATAATTATGTTTTCCAAAAACATTTTAATTAATTGTTTTTTTTTTTTTTTGGAATAATGGAGACAATCCTTAGTGATATGATCTTTCTCTTAGTTTATGGTAAAGTTTTTTCAAGTTAATTGCTTGGATCCTAACTCATAAAATATTGAGTTTTAAAGTTGTTTTTGTTATTATATCCGTTCGTATTAAACTCGTTGAATATGCTATGTCTAATCGAGAGTGAGCTAGATATATAAACTTTCTCATTAATCTTTAGTACATTTCTCTTTTGATTCTCAATTTCTGATGTGGATCCATTGATATTGGTGTAGGTTTACATTTGTTTTTCCTTATTTCTATCAATAAATTCATCACATATATTTTGCTATGATATGAAAATGTCATGAGCTGAATATGTTACCTCAATACCGGAGAAAGTATTTTAGCCTTCCAAGTTTTCTGATCTCAAACGCTTTCATTAGTTTTCTTTTGAGTTATTGTAACTCATCTTGATTTGAGTGCGACGTGTACGTTGATGACTTTGTCGTTACTAGTACAAGTGAGAGATATCAAAGAGTTCAAGCAACAAATGATAAAAGAATTTGAGATGACTAATCTCGGGTTACTCATGTACTACCTCGGTATTGAAGTGTGCCAAACAAAAGATTGCATCATGCTGAAGCAATTAACATGTGCTAAGAAGATGCTGCATCAATTTAAGATGGTGGAGTGCAACTTGATTGCTGAGTATCCTATGGAAGCAAAGTTACACCTTGGGAAAGATGTTGAAGGAAACTTGGTGAATTCCACTAAGTATAGGCGCATCATCGAAAATTTAAGGTACTTGACTCATACTCCGTTTGGACTTTTCATATGATGTAGGAATGGTGAGTAGGTATATGGAAAAGCCTACTATGATGCATCATCAAGCGGTTAAGCACATTCTCCGCTATATGAAGGAAACCTCAAGCTACGAGCTTAAATATCAAAAAGGGTGAGGTCTTGAAGAACTAGTTGATTTTACCGATAATGATTGAGCGAGAGATATTGATGACAGAAAAAACACCACAGGAATGACATTTATCTCAACGAAAATTTGATCTCTTTCCAATCTCAGGAGTAGCGAATTGTGGCACTATCTTCTTGTGAAATCAAGTTCATGGTAGCAACTGTGACATCGTGCCAAGCATTGTGGCTGAGAAATTTGTTGATCGAAGAGACTAAAAATGAACTAAAGTTGGTAGCTCTTTACGTCGACAAAAAATCTGCGATTGTATTAATGAAGAATCTGATATTTTACAGATGTAGCAAACATATTAACACTTGCTTCCACTTCATCCGTGAGTATATCAAGAAGAGATAAATCGTTGTAGAGTTCATATGCACTAGAGAGCAACGTGCTGATATTCTCACCAAGGTCCTAGCAAGGGTTAAGTTTGCAAAGATGCAGAAATTTCAAACAAAGTCAAGCTTATGAGGAAGATTGTGAGCCGATAAGCTTGACTTAGTAAAAGAAGTTACTAATTTATGAGTAACTTTTACGAGAATTGTTAGTTTTTTTTATCCCCGTAAATATTCATCATATCTCTCATATCTCTGATCTATTCAAAAAAAATAAAATAAATAAATAAATAAATTAAAAACATAAGTGTTTAAAGTTCTTTTGTTCCAAAAAGTTCTCTTAAGTTATTCTTTCTACTTTATTTGTTTATTTCGGTATATTTCGATCGCTGGTCAAAATCAATACACTATTCAAACAAATTTGTTATTGGTTGAGAAAGAAAAAAAATATTGAGTATAACTTGTCAACGGTCAAACCATAACTGTATAGAGTTTCAAGTAATTGAATTTAATGCTTTTGTTTTATCTCTAGTATAAACATCTTTATCATTGGCTCAAAATCTTAATATTTATCATTTAATTCGTCACTCTGGATCAAGAGACTATAAAGTGAAAACAACACAAAGGACAGGTGCACGAAAGGCCAGAGGATGAAGGCTTCGACACCACCGTGGACACGTTGGTTTGAACATATGTCGTTTTTATCAATAACAACCAAAATTTTAGTCAACAGACTTACTCAAGAGAGAAAGTAAATGTCGCACAATCACATTGTGAGTTACAGTAAAGTGTAATTGTAACGAACATTTAACCTAATAATTAGGTTGGGTGTTAGTGCATAATCTAATATTAATGGTCAAATTTAAGAGGTAAAATTGGATCCAAGTTGACTTATTAACTTAACTTTATAGATATGTTTTTTTCCCTTTTTTTGCATTGACAAATCACAAAAGTAATTTCTTACCTTTTTCTTTTCCTTTTCCTATTTTCATCCCCTTTTTATCTAAAATAAAATAAATATAATTATTTATCGAACCTAAGATAATATTTATGTAATGTCAATTCAAGTATAGCTCAAATAGTTAAAACAGTAATAAATAAAGATTCGTAAAAATAATTATACTGAAGTAATTAAATTTACTGTAATACGTTTATCAATTAGTGAAAAAAAAAACATATATTTTTATGCATTGAAAATGAAACAACCAATCCCTTTAAAAACAACGGGGATTTCAGTAGACCTGACTTAGCCCGTTTATATATGTTCTCGACTAAAAAGGTCCAGAGTAGCCCTAGAAATATTTGCTCTCTTTAGGTACAAACTTTTTTTTTCTTCTGCCCGTACACGACTCATGTACAAATGCTCTTTCAGATATGAACTCTTATGGTTGTAGGACGAATAATATTAAGAAATAGAGGAAAATTGTTCTCTTACTTACACAATCTAGAGAAACACGAGCCCATTTTTTTATTTTGATTTTTTTTTTTTATATGAACGACTTCACTTTGCTTAAAACTTTTCACTAATACATAAAACATCAGTATATTTAATACTTCGTGAATCGAATTGTTCATACATTAATAACATGTCGAGATTAATTCTTTAAAAACCATTTTCTAACCCAATAATAGCCTACTAATATAACCAAAAAGTTATTTATTATTTTTTTTTTTTCCTTTTACCCAATATTATTTTTAAATATTTCAAATTAAATAAAACTTTGTATCGAGCTGTAACCTCTTCTTTTGCCCATGACATGATAATTCCATGAGCATTGGAATCCGAGTTAGTCGAGTTGTTCCATTTATTACGTAAATTCAAACCTAACTCAATCGATGATGCCTTAATTATAATTTTAAAATTCGATAATTTGATTTTCTACACATGTGTACCTCAACATCTTCTCGGTTTTAAGAGTTTAGGGTTTAGGGTTTCATTTATTACGTCAATTCAAGCATAACTCAACTAATGAAACATTAATTATCATTTTAAATTTCGATAATTATATTTTCTACACATGTGTACCTCAACATCTTCTCGTTTTTTCGAGTTTAGGGTTTAGAATTTAGGGTCTAGGGTTTTATTTATTACGTCAATTCAAGCATAACTCAACTGATCAAACATTAATTATCATTTTAAATTTCAATAATTTGATTTTTACACGTGAACCTCAACATCTTTTCGTTTTTAAGAGTGAAAACTATTTCCATAAACTAACACAAATAACATATTTTGTCTCTCACTTACATGCATCGTACTCATAAGATATCACCCAATATAAATATTTTCCAAATAAAACATGCTTAATTTTGGAGTTCATGTAATTGAACTACCACAAAAATGTTCGCTTTGTTAGTATAGACATTAACTTTCAATTTTTTTTAAAATTTTTTAGCCATCATATTTTTAAGATTGGATCGAACCCATTTGATACTATAAAAAGTTCATTCATTCAACTCACCATTTCAACACAAAATTACAAAATAAATAAATAAATAAATAAAAGGTTGATCTCAACATCTCATTTTGTTCTATTAACATTTTTGTTTTAATCACTAAAAAAAAAAAAAAAAAAAAGGTTAAACCTTTGCCTTTATTTATATATATATCTCCTACCGTGCCCTCCCTATAGCTCAACCTTGTCCCTTCTATTTTCTTTTTCTTTCTTTCTTCCTCTAACAATGCAAACTTCAAGCTACTCTAACAACACCATGACCGACCCGAGCAGCAACGACACGAGAGCATCGGAGGCGGGCGGCAGTGGCGGGAACGGAGGGACAAAGGTGAAGATGGGTTGCAATATAATTGTAGATAAAGAGGGAATAATGTTAAGCTGTGTAGAAAAAAAATGCATAGGAAGAGGAAGAAAAACCAGAGCTTTGCAATTGCATTGCAGAGGGGAATTGAGGGTAATGGTCCGAAATTAAGGCTTCATTTTTGCTTATTTTGTAGTTTTTTTTTTTTTTTTTTTTTTTTTATTTTNGCGCTTAAGACATGGGCTGTAAGAGATGCATACAAGCATAGCCATTATTAGGGTATTTGTAAGAGTATGGTTTTAGGGTTTTAAGGTTTCGGGTTTTGTTGGGCATGCATTGCTTACACCAAGCATGTACTTTATTCCATCACTTCAATCGAAAATTATTGGATTGTGTTCGGTCACATTGGGACGTTTAATTTTTTAGGTCCTGCATCCTTGTCTCGTGGGATAATCGTTCGAATAGTGGTTAGGTCGTTTGTCCTTGATTTAGTAACATTAAACGATATTTCAGTTGAATCTTTCGTTTCAAATACTATCATCCTGAGTTTTAATTCAACAGTAGCTCAAAGATTACAATATCTAATGTACGGAACAAAGGTTGATGAATAATTAAATTTCAATAAATAAATAAATTAATTAATTAATTAAAAAAAAAAAAGAGTTCAAACTATGAAGGCTTGGAGATTCCATTCTATGTTTTTATTGAACTTTTGAAAAGCTTTTGTGGCATTGGATTATTAAAAAGAGGTGTAGATTACTGTTGGGGATGCTTCACTTTTTATGTTTCCTGTAAAGTCACTCAAAATGTTCACTACAAATATACCAAAATATGGCAAAGAATGGACCGTTGTGTATGTGTGTTTCGCCCCATATATACAATAAACACACCCATATTAGATTCATATAGCTCGACTAGTTAAAATAAAGGTTGTTCATGAGTAAGATTGAATTGGGTCGGGATGAAATATTTTTTTTAAA